AGATCCATCCCCCATTCCCTACTAAGAGGCAGGGAGGCCTTTCAGCGCACGATCCAGGGCATTTAGTGAACTACTTGAAAGAATCTGCTCTCTCGCTCTCTCTCTTCCTCTATAGCTCTATAGTGTATATATATATATATATATATATGTCTATATCTCTCTCTCTCTCTCTACCCCCTCTTCCGCTCCGCATCTACATCCACATCTATATCTGTATCTATGTCTATATTCATATCTATATCTCTATATCTCTACAATTATAAGTGTATATATATATATATAGAGAGAGAGAGAGAGCGAGACAGAGAGAGAGAGAGAGCGAGAGAGAGAGAGAGAGACAGAGAGAGCGAGCGAGATGCGTACATACCAATCATCCCAAAAGCACATCCTACGGTGATCCCGGGACTGAAAACATACTCTCCTACGTAATCCCCAAACCCTAAACCCTAAACCCCAAAGCATAAATACCTAGACCCGAAACCCTGAGCGAAACCTACACCCCTAAATCTGACTTCGAGCTCCCCCGGAAATCAACGAGTTTAGGGTTTAGAAAACCCAACTCCCTAAACCTTACACCCTAAACCCTGGTTGAGGGTCACGCCTCGCCCCGGACCTGGCTCTGCCCCTCGGATTCCTCGGGGCTCAGCGGTTTAGGATTTCTGGTTGAGGGTTCAGGGCTTATGGTTTCTGGTTGAGGCGGGTCTAGGGTTTAGGGTTTAGGGTCATGGAATAGAAAAAAGGGAAGGTTTCTGGTTGTTAAGGGTGTAGAGTTTACAATAGGATTTAGTGGTTATGGAACAAAGCAGAATAGATCAGAAGATACTATGCCATACAACCTGCACATAGCCAAAAAAACTGCACACCATGCAACGGTGGCAGCCAAAACATATTGCGAAAGTAAAGCAAACCGTGGATGAAAAGTTCCAGTTTGAAGCAACGCCTGAAGTTATGAGGTTGCAAGAATTAATACTTGTCGGCTTGAGGTTCAAGCAACGGTTGTGGCTTGTGGCAACATGTCTCGGCTTCATCACTCAGACTTCACGGCCTGCCAAGGCACTCAACGGAAGAGCCCTAGACAGCTGCGACATACTGCATGCATGTGTTGCAGGGATTTTCGATAGCCAAAAGTGGTAAAGAGACTGCCCATGGGATGCATCCTCGTTCAAGAGCTGAAACCAAGAATCGCATGCATGAACTCCGCCCACTCACAACCCAGTTGAATCGAATAGAGGAGCTCCGATATCCGTTTAGGCTTCATCCCGAACCCCCACAAACCCGACTCATAGACCTGAACCCTGAACCCCTAATTTCTTAAAGCCCGAACCCTAAACTCCAAACTGCAGCTCTGATGCCCACTCGTCTACCGTGAGGCCCTTGTAGCCGTACCAGGCGCTCGCAACGGAGCCAAAGACGCAGAGAACGTTGAAATCCCCTGGTGTTTCCAAGCCGTTTACGATCCATAGGCCCATGGCCCATACTATAGGCTGTACCTTAACCCCCAATAACCTGGCCCATTTTGTAGCTGTACATTAGTCAGCACCTAAAGAGTACAGGGCTTGTGACCTTCACGGATAGGATTTAGGGGCTGAGGGTTTGCTATACAGGGCTTAAGGCTAGTTAAGTTTTACTTAGAATGGCAGCAGTTGGTGGCTGCAAAACAAGGACTGAGAGTTGCAGAGCTTCAGAATTGAGCGCAGGACACATGACTCGCAAGCCTTACTGGTGTATTCTCTGCTTGTGTACGCACATGTGCATGTGCGAATCTGCCCCATCGATCATATAAATATAGCTACATGCACAGTAAGTTGAACTGACAGTCGTAGATACACAGACAGATGGGTAGTTTGATTTTGGCACGCTTGTATCGGGCTGTTTGGTACCGGCAGTTTTCAAAACATGCAAGCATGCAGCATGGACGCCCTGATCCGTGACCTCGACCAGCGAGGTCGAAGAGTCTAAGACTCACGATCTGCAAGACGCAGACTTGTCCAGTTGGCCATTGAAGATCTGTCGGATTAGAACTGTCTAAGAACGAAAGCTTATACGGCCGACGACCAAAGGACCGGCAAATGCTCTGTCGCCCTGCTTGCATCCTGAACCCAGAAAGCACTGAACTCTTAAACTCTACACTCTAAAGACCCAACTCCTCACCGCTAAAGCACTGAGAAGACGCCGGCCTACTTTCACGGCGCAACATGGCTCCGTCATGCGAGTATTTTGGTGGGGAAGATCCCGGGATGGGATGTTGGACTGTCGGGTTTCCCCGGGCGTCTAACTGCGCCTTGTTGGCATGGGGGGGGGCTTTGGGGTCGACCTCAAGGATCAGGGGACGTAGTGAGTAGGTTGTGGAATCTTCTAAGTAGGAGAACTTTATTCTGCTTACAAAGGCCTCTTGGAAGGAGATGCAGGTGGCTTCTGGGAGAGTTAGGGCTCTTATGGAGACTTTGGTTCTGGCCAATGAGCTTGGAGTGAACACCGAGTGTTCCGGGTCCGTGGTGCAAACGCCTTGAGGTCTTTTGAGATCCCAGACAAGTCCTGTTCGAAAGAGCAAAGCCTCTTTGAGTTTGAGCCTAAACCTTACAAAGAAAAATGACGCCCCGAACCCGATATCCTTCCTGACCCAATACAAAACCCGGGTATTGACTACGTATGTTGCAACATGGTTTTTGCAAAGTCTGTGGTGTGTTTCGCAGAAGGCTTGAGCCCATGACATGCCAGAAGCAGATTTGCGACTGGATAAGCCACCACAACCAGACGCCCTCAGCCACAAGCATGTTGCAAACCATTAGGAGGTGGGGTGCCATATTTATACATGTGTATACATACATATATACATATA